ATGTGAGAAGTGTTAGTTTCAGAAGTGAGTAAGAAGTAGTTACGATTAATAATAGGCTTAATAGAACTGTTAATAGGATGATAAGTAAGAGTGAAAGGAATACGGTCATTAGGAGCACGAACCTTAGGTGTGAGAGCAGTGTTACGATCAATGAGAGAGACTTTACGCAGAGCTTGATCAACGACATGTGGAGGATAGTTACGATTAAGAAAAAAGGAACGCATCTCCATGCATTTGTTAGAAAAGTCATTATCGTCGCTGCACAAGCGACGGAGACGTAGAAATTGAGAGAAAGGAATAGCATTCAGAGTATGCTTAGGGTGAGAAGAAGAATAGAGAAGATAAGAGTGAGAATCAGTAGGCTTATAATGCACAGTAGTGCTGAGATGAATGTCAGTAATACTGACTTGAATGTCAAGAAAAGTGACTGACCTGTCACTGACTTCCGAAGTGAATTCTAAGGCAGGGTGGAAAGAATTAACATAAGAAATGAAAGAGTCTAAATCGTCACGAGAACAAGAGGTAGCCCCAATACAGTCGTCAATATAGCGGCCAATATAGCTCTGATTCTTCCGGTGATTCGTCAGACGAAGATGACCTCGACATACTTTTTCTTTCTGCCTTGTTTCCCACTACTCCTGATAATAAAAGTGGTCACTTTCCGAGGATTAATCTTGAAGACCTGACCAACTTACAGTGCGAAGAGAAGTTTAGGTAAGCTTAAGTGGACTAAAATCCCCCTTATTAGTACCACCGTATTCAATTCGCTAAACTGAACTTGACTTAGATAGAGTTAGTACGATGAAAGCCTATAAAGAGTTTGATATTTGGCCTGTCTTTCTTTTTGAAAGGTTTCAAAGGTGCGATATGTATCGCCTGTTTAACGCTCTTGAACTACCTCAAAATTATATCTGCTCTCAGAGGACAAATGCAACAGGAATGGAAGCTCTTATGATCCTATTAAGGAGGCTAGTCTATCCTAACAGATGGTGTGATCTTGTAGAACTGTTTGGGAGGTCAGAATCTGAGCTTAGTCTTATATTTAATGAGGTAAGTAAATTATGTGTTGGCGAAGGGGCTCAATATGTTTCCTGGCATTTGATAAAGTCCACATGTTGGTTGACTCATTAACACTATTCTCTATAAGACATATATTAAGAGATTGGAGCCTAACAACTTTTTACTAAATTACTTTTTTTAATTAGATTCTTGATGATATCTATGATCGATATGGCCACTTGTTGGACTCTCTAAACCTTTCTTGGCTCGATCCAGCTCTTTTTTTCTCAAGTAATTCATGACAAAGGTGCCCCCCTAGAACAGTGTTGGGGGTTTATTGATGGTACACCTAGGCTATAGCTCGCCCAATAAGAAATCAAAATATCATGTTTAGTGGACACAAGAGAGTGCACTGTATTAAGTTTCAGGTATTATAACAACACATCTCTTTTCCGCACTTATTTTTGCATGTGTTTACTATGTTGATGTCTTAATTTGTAGTCAGTTCAAGCTCCAAATGGTCTGATAGCAAATTTGTTTGGGCCAATAGAGGGAAAACGACACGATGCTTTYATGCTTGGAGYGAGTGGTTTAGCAAACAAGCTGAGGCAATTCCAGAGACCTAATGGGCAACGGTACATCATCTATGGTAATCCTGCTTATGGTTTGACAAGAAACATCCTTGCCCCTTACCGAGGTGCACACCTAACTCGTGACCAACAGGAATTTAATAGCAGAATGAGTAAACTCAGAGTATCAGTTGAATGGGGATTCGGAAAGATATGGACACTATTTGCTTTTCTAGATTTCAAAAAAAATAATAAAATTTTGCTTCAACCATTAGGCAAATACTATGTTGTGGCAGCTTTACTGACCAACTGCCATACATGCTTGTASGGCTCGCAGACAGRTCGATTTTTTGCATTAGACTCCCCACCCATTGAAAACTACCTATCAAACAACTAAAACAAAGAGAACAAAATACAAATAGCAGTGGCTTTTAGGGAAAAAATCATCAGATAATTTATTCAAATTACCATTTATAGTTGTACAGCGTGAACTCTGGTATATAAATATATGAAAATATAATAAATATATGATTTAATTTATAATAAATATTTCCACGTATAAATGTGAATAGTTATAAATAAGACTGTACAAGAGAGGCATTAAATAMCTTTCAAGGAACAGAAAGTCTAATGTTTGTCTTTAATAAGAGCAAGGAAGGTCCTTCGCTCCTCTAACTCTAGTTCAAGTCTGGCCTTTCTTTCAGCAGACTCTTGTTCATACYTCTGCTTCTCAAATTCCAACTCTTTCTGTCGCTGTTCAAGCTCTTGCCTCTTTATTTTAGCCCTTGTCTCATTTTTTTTTCTYCAGCATTTCAATAGCAGAAAGTTTTGATGCTCTCCTAGCTTTGACTGGTTTCTTATCTATGTTATAATATATCAAAATTCAGAAATTAGATAGAGAAACATCTGTTACCCATCTTTTTGGAGTGTCTAAGGTTATGCACCAATCAGTTGAAACCCCTGCACCTAACTACTCGGGCAATAACAGAGGATTAGATTAGTAAGGGGTGGGGATTCCACTGRTTAGTGCATTATTATTTAGATACAGAAAGATAAACATAGACATGATGTCTTAGAAGGCCAAATTTGCAGGAAGCTCCAAATAGCTTAAGCAGAAGGAAATCAAAATAAAATTATATTTCACCTTTCTTGGTCACTTTCTTTTTGTTGYCATCAGAATCTTCACTGGCTGTACTCAAGACGTCATCTTCCTCACTGTTGTTATCATCACTATCACTGACATCTACCTTCCTTTCTTAAAAACGAATACACAAGCACACAATTTATGTCTGGTGGTACTGTAATGTCCAACAATTTCTTACTTTCATATCAAAAGATAACAAAAGAAATTACACAATTCAATCTTTAGATTTGATGCTTACTTTTCTTGATAGCTATGAGAGCAGCTTCTCTCATTTCTTCTCCTTTTTGTTTCTCCTGATTCTAATGATAGCTAAACATTAGAAAACAATATAATTAGCATAACAATAATAATAATAGTGATGATTTATCGTAAACACCGACGAAYAGTGCTCAATACACATTTGTGTAGAGCGGCATAGACTTAGTAAAGTATTCAGTAGATGAATATTAGCATATAATTAGCATAACATATTTAGTGCTATTTGTGTTGCACACTTTTAGTGTTTCAGTACTCTATTACAGAAGTGGGTTTGCATTTGATCAAATCCTGGACAATTATATTTATTCCTTTAYGACAAGCTTTTCATTAACTTTGACAACACAAATTTAAGCTTACCTCTTTAGTGACTTTTTGTCTTCGTCCTTGTGTTTTGTTATCAATCTATCCAATCGTTCTCTACACGAACGACCTGTCAAGTCCACTGTTTTACTTCCTTTTGAGAACTCTTTACTCAAAATGTCTGCTATGTCTTGCCATTCTTTTGGGCTGGTTGGTTTTCTTCCAGCAACCTCAGTCGCTAGCATTATATCGTGCTCAATGAATGGCCAACGAAATGGCATTGTGATTCCTTGTAGATAGAAATGTTTTTGTCAGCTATTTTAGTACAAAGAATCAAAATACGATATGTGTATGTTAAAATAAACATTAGTAAAACGAACTATTCACTTGTTATTTCGAAAAATCTTTTAATCTGCGTCGATCTACTTCGAGTCCGCCATGTTTGATTCTCGTGCTTACTTTTGCTTTCACATATCACTCAATAAGTTAAATCAAAAAAATTATTTGAATTAAACGTCGAAACTATGACTTTTATAATCTCTAGACATTAAATTACTTTGCAAATACATTCAAACGTGACTTTGTTTGCTATTTTTGGATAAAAACGACGCCGTAAATCACTTACCGGAGAACAGGTGTCTTGCAGTAAAAACGTGAACCGAGAACCGCAAACCGAACGGCAAGAGACGAGTCACGTGACATCCTGCCGTCAGCGGTTAGCGGTACATCGAAAAAAACCTGATGCTAAAGGTCTCTAATAGCTCAGAAGTTGATTGTTGATCTGTTTCAGCGACAATTGAGCTTGATGTAGAAGCCTATAGCAACAGTGAAAATGATTCGCAAACAAATATGGATATAGGGAAGGGGCTATCTTTTTACAATTTTATATCTTATATTTCTTATTAATTCTTCTGGCAGCTCAGATCCAATTACATCAAAAGAAAGAAAGGATTTTAGAGAAAGCTCGGCCCCCCTAATGCTTTTCCATTATTTTGGAGACACCCTCCTCAACACTCTCCTCCCCCCTCTAGGAATAATACATGAGCTTTCCCTGTACTTTCAATAAAATTGAGTGCATCTTTGGTACTCACCATTTYTATCACTTTGGTATTATCATTATTGTAGTGTCTGACRGTCGGCAGTCGGTACAAATTGCTACAAAAATGTTCAAAACTATTACCCTCATTGGCGATTATTTAGAGTAATATTTCGCGAGATTATTGCGGGATTAATTATTCTCACGATTTGATAGACATGAAAAAATTCGTAAAATGACAATAACCAGTGAGCGCATTATTGCTATTTTCATTATTATAGTTATGTCTGACGATGTCTGACTACATCAACATTTTTCATAACATGGAAAATAAGAACAATCTACGAGTAACTAGAAGCCTTTATCTATCTAATTTTGCATTGTGTGAMTTTCGTCCTAATTTTTTACCCGTCCCCTACCCTTAAGTATTTTAATAAATTGCGAATGTCCATAGCCTACTGAGCACTTTTGTCGTAAAATAACACGGTAGCGCGCTACATTTATTGCTAGTACAGCTTTTATATAGTCCTACTTACTAAATTCAATTTGTACACTAACGCCAGTTCGAGAAAAGATTTCAGTAGACATACTTGCATTCACTCTTCGAAAACTTTTCAGTTGTTTGCGTCAACCTTTATGGATTGGATGGTTGCATGTGCGGCGTTTGCGTCCAGGTCACTCAAAAAACAAATCCTTTCTATGTTTTGGACAGATGGTCATATTATCTAGCTCATCGCCGGCGCTGATCTACTCATCGTAGCTGGGAAGAAGAGACAGTTTTATTGCGAAACATTCCATTTTATAGTGTCCATATTATTATGTTTGCAAAAGTTCTCAAAGCGTCGTTTACATGAAGCAATGTTGTTTTTGGTGTGTACATGAGTCACGTAAGCACAAACTCACAGGAAAAAATCCTAAATTCCCAAACTGGGAAAATAATGGGATTCTCTGGGATTTTTGTGTGTGTTTCAATGGGTTTTTCCTATTATTTCACAAGATTGGGAAAATGGTACCACTCCCATTCATGGGGCAATGAAATCCCAAAGCATTCCCATTCATGGGTTTTCCTTGTCCCAGTATTTTCCCACTGACGGGTTTATCTTGTCCCAGTATGTTCCCATTTATGGGTTTATTTTGTCCCAGTATTTTCCCATTTATGGGTTTATCGTGTCCCAGTATTTTCCCATTTATGGGTTTATCGTGTCCCAGTATTTTCACATTTATGGGTTCATCTTGTCCCAGTATTTTCCCATTTATGGGTTTATCGTGTCCCAGTATTTTC